CAAGCCCAATCAAATATATCAAAGGATTATTAAAATGGGAAATAACCAATGAGAAGCCTGCTCCAAGTAGCACAAATAAACAGCATTAATCTATAGCAGCGATTCCGAACAAAAAAGTCAAGTTTAAAGCTTGATGCTCCTGCAAAACAAGCCTAAAACAAGAATCTGAGAACTGTGAATGATGTAGTTGGCACAGAGTTGTGATGTTTAATACCCAATAGAAACGTCCAACCCTGTAGCCCTGGTCTGTCTTGAGTGCTTTAGACTGATTCACTGAGATAAATGGGTTGAGGGCACCTGATGTATGATACAGAGAAGATAACATGGCAGGAAAAGTGACAGAGGATAAACATACGCCACAGAGACAACAGCTTGTAGCAAGTAGAAGCTCCTGTCCTGACTACTATGGTTTGATAATCACCTTCAGTGTGTTTGTCTGTTACTGTCCCTGTGTGCAAGTTTGTGATGAGGAACAGGGATCTGTTTATTCATACCAGTATCTCTACAACTAGGTACCATTACAAATTATATTTTTAATGCAGAAGGCTGTTAGAAAGCTGCAAAAACAAAAAATTACAAACTTCTCTGATTCCAGCTTCTCCAATGTGAATATTGGCTGATTACTTTAGTCTTCTTTTATTGTAATCTGAACATCTTTGGGTTTAGGACAGTCAGTCGGACAAAACAAGACACCTGAAGACCCCACCCTGGACCGGGAAAGGCTTTTCTGACCATTTCCTAACATTTTTTTGACCCAACACTTAACCGATTTATCGAGGAGTAAGTGACAGCAGAGAGCAAAAAATAATCATTAGTTGCAGCCCTGTACAAATGTTTGCTTTTACCAATAAAGAACTGCATGATACTGGTAAACCTCTAACTGAAAGGACAAACCAAACAAAATAAGCTGGCATTTATTACAAATGACTCTACCTGCGATTCTTAAAAAGCAACTTTCAAAATCTGAAACAGATAAGGCAAATAAATAACCCGCACTCAAAGAGGGTTTCATTGCTTTATTCATCATGGCTGCCCTATCTCCACCATACAGGCACATTATGTTCCTGTTAAGACTCCACATGGACTTTAGATGGTGCTGTTAACCACTGTAGGATCATTTCAGATGCTATCAGGCAGGCAGAATATTCTGGCTGTTGGCATGCCAGCAGTGCGAGCCAACATGTCAGCTGCTGTTTGCCACAGAGCCCCTGGTCCAGCTACTGTCCTTAAGAGCAAATAAACAACTCCTCTTGGGCAGTTGTATCACATATGTGAAATTAATGGGAAAATGTATGAGCTAATTTTTCAAGCCGCTTTGTGACAATTCAAAGAAGCATGCGGTGGAGAAAGTCCTGTCCGGAATTTAAAGGTAAGTATGCATCTGCTGATTGTAATGGCGCAAAGGGGGATCACTGTTAAAATGTGTAAGTAGTAGTTTTAAAATACTTTGATAATAACTTCAACATTAAACAATCAGATCTTGCATTCACACCTAGTATTTTTATTGTGTTCTAGTTATCCTCATTGAGATCGGATCTGTGTCCTCCAGAACAAAACCCTCGCAAATAATTTGAGTGGCAGAAAATCAGGCCCAGACTCTGTTAAAAAGAAATAAAATTAAAAAGTACTGACCAGGACTTCGACTGTCCAAAGTGCAGGTAGTTGATGCTGTAGAGGTCCATGTCCTCAGTGTGCCAGGCAAATGTGGTCTTCCACATGCCAAAGTAGAGGTAGGGAGTGTTGACACCTTCAATAACGATGCCACATTCCTGCTCCACCATATCCAGCAGTGTGTTGAGGTGGCCAATGTTCCACTCTTGAATGTCCTGAATGGAGACATGTCATTTTTATGATTAGCATGTACAGAGTAGTTTCTATGCTCAAAGTGGTCCTCACAGTCTATTAATGACCACCAGGTAGTGCTGTAGTCATCCAAAAATGTCATCATAGTACCTCACTCACTGAGCAGGGTATGAAAAAATATCACTTTGTAGAAACCTTTTTAGATGCTGGCAACAAGTAATAAAAAACACAATCTCTAAAGTTTCTTAGATTAAGGACATTACATTACAATTACCTTTACCTTTTAATAGTATTTTAAAGGTCCACTGACACTGAAAACTGTTAAAACATATAAGTAAGAGTACGTCATAAATTCTTTTTGGTCCTAAATTTACTGAGTAACAGTCATGTCAATCAAAGTATATAGCGAAATAAGCAGTGTTAGCAAATCAGCCGCACCAAATGAGCACTTACACACAAAACCCTCACCTCATCATAGATGGAGCCACTGACATCTGCACCATAAATTGGTGACACAAATGTCAGGTTCTTCCAGTACTTCCTCTCTAGATCATCAAAGTCTTTGTGCCGGGGTGTGCAGTACCTGGAAACAGCATTGGACCAGTCATGTTGTAAGCAGTGAGTTGTGAGTAGGGAGATGGCCCCCTTAACTAAAACCCCCATGTTGACAAGCATCGAGCATTATGAGCAGTTCAACAATTAGCCCGTTTTTAAATCACTACACACTTTAGGTGTACAAACAGAAAATAGGGACGTTAGGACCAACATAGCTTCTTAACGGCAGACAAGGAAGAAGAATGAGGACACCGTTTTGAGAATATATCAACAAATTCTTCAATAAATATACTGTGCAGATATGGTTTTACTATTGCCTTTATTGAACTTCATTTAAGCATTTTTAGGACCACTAGAGGGCAGAAAACACACTTCAACACAAAGCTACAGCAGCCAGTGCCAATAGATGTATTTAATTCCCTTGGTCTTCTTCATATTTTAGTGGTTTCAAGTAGTAGTAATCAGTAGATTTTTTAGAAATAAGAATAAGAAATCTCCTTTAAGACAAGATCATCTTCAAATGAAGAAATTGTATTATAAATCAGGAAAAGCTGCCACTTTGCAAAATAGTACTAGTAAATGTTGACATAACTCAGTTACGGGGATGGGCATGAGTACTTAAGTACTAATTAGGACGTCGTTATTCATTCCACTTATCGAGTACTCGCATTTGAATCTGCGCAACTGCAGATAATGTTGAGCGCTTTTAGACACATGACTTATCTAACATTGCAGGCAGAACTACGACTAAGCATCAAAGTGATGTTTGGAGGGATCTCTGAGTAGACAAAATGAATGTGCAGTGCAAGCTATGTAACATCAAAACGTGTGTATTAACAAAACAATCAGTTCGATGATTAATCATTTGCGGTTTAACACAAGGGGAAAACAGCTGAGGCGATCACCTCTTATCACCTCATTTGCTAAAGCTAGCAATGTTAGCAAGCGTCGCCGCGAAGCTACCAGGGCAGATATTAGTCGGCTCATTTCAACGATGGTTCATCACAAGCTGATTGTTGAGCCAGAGTACATTCTACCATCAGGGTAGAGGAGGAAGAGGGAATGTATGAGCAAAGTGCTGTGAACTGAACTAAATTAACGGGCCAAGATGGTTGCAGATGAAAAGGTCACAGCTTGTTTACCAACCAGATGAATTAATAGCTCATCTCTACAGTCTGTGCAGTGCAGAAAGGCAGGATAACCCTGACCCTAACCGCATTTCTACTCAAGTGTTTATTTCAGACTCTATACTGAACATAAGAATAGGGTCTGAAATAAACACTCATGTGAAAAAAATTTTGTTTTTTTTGGTGAGTACCCAATAATTCAATGCAAGTACTTAAATATGGAAACGACTTCAAATGTCCATCCCTACTCATTTAAAACTAAGGCAGAACAACACTTTTGAAGAGCAGTCTATGAGCTTAGGCATTCATAGACTAAGCTTAAACCACTGGATAAGTGTATTTTATTTATTAATAATTCTTAAAGACTGTATCAGCGTATTTGTTTCATCAGATGTACGAAAACTCAACTACATGTGAGCTCATTCTTTTACAAAAACATTGCTCGGGAAGACATAAGCAACAAAGAAGCCTCTCATTATCAGTCTCAACCTGTTCTAAAAACACTCTTAAAGTATACAAACATCAGAGCAACCACATTAAATGAAGCCACTGCACCAGAGACCGACTTACTTCTTGCTGTTGGCCAGCTTGCGGTACTCGCCTACAGTCATCGACTTCTTCTGGATGTTGTACTGAGTGAACAGACCAGACTGTCCTGTCACTACCTGCGTGATGGGAGCTGGAATCACCATGTCCTCGATGGTGTCATAGGACCTCCGCGGCTTCCAGCCCTCTGGGGGAATCACCTGGTGAAGGAGGCAGATTGTTAACGTTTACATTTACATTTAGGGAGCTGACATTCAAGTTTTACAATGACCTGCAGCCACAAGTTAAACTCAACACGAATGCTACTGACAGCCCATCAAAGTCTTATTGTACATTATTGGAGGTTGGTACAATTCTCCAAACTGGCAGGACATTCAAATCCTATTTAATTCCACTATATACAGTTTGAACCGTTGAAACTTAGATAACACAAAACTATTATTTCATTATTTAAATCAACATAAAATGCCAAACACTTGCTGATTTCAGCTTCTAAAATGCCAAAATATGTTTGCTTTAATATAATAATAAATAATAAGTCATTTTAAGCAGATTGTGTAACTTGTAGTAGGCATTTGTCAATCCTAACATACTACAGTATGTATGTGTACGTATGCTGTCCCTACTTTTGCCAGCCCAGCACGGTGAGCTCCCTGACTCTCCATGTAGACAATGTATTTGGCGAAGTCTTTGAACTCCTCCATGGTGGGCCGGAAGGTCATGATCTTGCAGCTGGGGTTCTTGGCGCTGACTGGTGGCAGTGGTGGCAGCAGAGGGGTCGAGGGCAGCTCAGAGCCTGGAACAAGGCCTGGGGCCAGATCTGGGTCTGTAGGCTTGGCCGTGGTGAGACCTGGAGCAGCATCATGTTCTGAGGTTACCGCTGTGTCGGGGGTTTCAGCTACTGCTGGCTGCCGGGTGGGAATCTGATCTTGGGCTGCACTGGAGCTGAGATTAGGAGGAGAGGATGGGGTAATGTCAGGAGGCGCGGCGGGGGCAGGGTGAGGAGCCGGCACCGTGTCCATGGGCATGTCGGTAGCCATTGGGTCTTGTAAGGGTTGCAGGTAAACCTGGAGGAGAGAGCATGGGCAACGAGTGAATATTCATTCTGTTTCCGCCTCTTTCGAACCGCCATGACCTTTTTACAAACCAAATTAGGAGCAGCTGCTGACCGCAAGACATGGGAGGCTTTTTAAGAGCTAATCAAGTGAACAAAGTAAAGAATGAACATAAAATGCTGGTACAAAGAATAGGACATCATAACAGCAGAAGCATGCTGCTCCGAGTTTGTTTAACATGTCGACGACAATATCTTTTGTTGCTCATGTTCAATAATAATAATTTATTCATCATTTACTTTTTTAACGATGCACATTTGCGTACAGGTGTCTCTGCACCTTGATAAAGCTGGAGATGCGAGTTACGTGGGACGTCAAACAAGCAGTCAAAAGTAACATCTAAATATTTAATAACACCTCAGAATAGTGTACGTGGATATGACTATGTGCTGCTTTCACCTGTGCTTCCAAGAGTAGCTACAGCCAGGGTAACAGTCTTGTCTGTGTCACACCCCCCCCCCCCCCCCCCTTACCTCACTCATTTTACACTAGAAAGGCTATTACTTTGTTTTACAGGACATTCCCCCACCTCGTCCTAATATTGATACTACTGGCAACTAGTGCTTGCTTCCTGTATGAACAGAAGTTGTTTAAATTGTAGCAGCCCTGAGGCTTGTGTTTGACCAACAGGCAACACCAAGTACAGCAAACTCCATCCTGATAGCCCCAAGGCCACCTGAACCACTGGAGCACAGGCTTATTGAGGCCACACAACTACGCACCAGGAACCTTTCACTTAAAGCTGAAACTGTTAGTCAGTGAATCTATTATAAATCAAATTAATCAGCAAATATCTTGATCATCCATGTACCATTTAACAGCATTTGTTTCAGGGGTCGGCAGTTTACCGTTTTAACACTTGCTGCTGTTTTAACACTCTCTCTGGCATAAAATCAACATGTTACTTCTCTTACTAAATATAAATATGGAATAAATATTATATGGCTCTTATCTCGCTTCCTTTCTCCCTCCGCTTCATAAAATGTGTCCATTAAGTCAGAACAAAAAACTGCTGCACTCTCTAAAGCCACTGGCACACCAATCAATCATTCTCCAACAACAGGGAATATTCTAATGCTGTTGGAAGTTTTTTACAAAGGGTTTTTAACAACTAAGCTCAACTAACTACTAACCTAACTAACTTAACAACTAACTAACTGCCCCGGGCCTCAAACACTCACACAAATCCAAACCAACAGGTGGCTTTAAAAGTGAGAGTGAAGAGGGTGTAGTTCAGAGACACTCCTCGTATTAAAGGGAGGTCCACACCAGGAACTATACCAACAACTACTACACCACCACTATAAAGACAACGGCAGAGGCAATATATACCTGTGATCACCTTCAGAGCGATTTGATGAACCTTATTGTGCTATACAACTTATGAAGTGCTCATGGTGGTACTGTTTTTAAAAGTGTCCTGAGATAAAAATGACTGAGATAATTGGCGCTATACAAATAAAATTGAATTGAACTGAAAATTGAATTGCTATTACGCTGCAACTTCACACATGAAAAACGCCATTTTACTTGAAATCTACTGTCAAACACTCTTTAGCGCTGACATGTAATCGTCTCTCAGGCGACACCAGAGCGGTGGCCGACTGCACAGCCATTATACAATGTCAAAGTACCAATTACAAGGACTGCATCTCTCATTTACCGCTAATACAGGGGAAGGGGAGCTGCACTGCTATGAATACGCATACTATATTTACACTTTTATCGTCCAAAGCATGGCAAACTGATCAAACATAGACTGAACATGTCAAATCTGACCAAACATCTCCAAAATATTACAAACAAGGACAGCCAGCCTAGGCACACAAAACTAACGTCTGTGTTTGTGGGAGACTGTTTGGTTGGTAATCCATGGCCTTCAGGCTACATTTCATTGCTCTGAACATTAGTTTGACAATTTAGTATCCTATAACTATTTCAAACATATCGCCCAGCTCTACATGTATGGCAACCCTGAACAGGTTTAATTCAGTACTAGGGGAGTATAAAGTAGTTTGACGTCAGCAGAGCACAGTTTTGTCTCTTTTTCATTTTTTGTATCCAAGCAAACAGGTGTTATATATATATATATTTTGTCACTCACAATGCAAGGGTTGTAGAATTAAATTTAAATATAGTTCCCTTTATGCAAATTTTAGGAAATAAAATGAATGATGAAATGGATTCATTAAAAGAAACTATTATTAAAAACTAAATATAAAAAATATCAACCCATTTTACATCTACCTTTCCTCTGCAAGACTTACAGTCTTCACAGTGCCCTAACACTGTTCCTGGCTTAACAAAATAAACACACACACAAACACACATCACTCCCTTAATGTGCTTTGCAGGCAGCCTCTAATGGACAGCTTTCACACACATCTGCCACCCACAACTTTAAAACAACACTAAATGTAACTACTTCTTTCTTGCACTGTCAGTTCCTAATACAGGGCAAGACAAATGGAGACGATTCAACAAGTCATTTGCATGAAGCACAAACACCATCATAGTCTGTAGTACAGGAAACATGCTGTGAGGTTGAATAGACACTGTCACGTTTCAAGCAGCCGAATAAAAAGAAGGGAGAAGTTAAGTTCTGCTGAATTTAATAGATTATAATCCCACTTCGACACAGTATTGTTTCCTGCTTAGTGACAAAGAGTATGCTTTCAAAATAACTGGCTGTTCATTAACAAAGTAACAATTCACAGCTGGTTTTACTTTCGCATTTAGACACGTTTTTAACTTTGTATCAGCCGCAAGGTCCCTTTTTCTAACCGGTGCTGACCTATGCAGGAGATGGAAGGAAGGCCACATGACCCCCAGCTGTCTAACCACAACAATAAGGGGCCTACACAACCCCTTTAACTCTTATATGGGCCTGAAACTCAAACACTGCAGTCCGCTGCCCCCCCTAATAAGCACGGAGAAGCTTATACCCACAAACTGCATTCGTCCTCCTGACAGTTAATTCATATATGTGGCTTTTTTGAGGGGAAACGACGCCGCTGGTTTTTAAATGAGCTATCAGTACAGGATGCTGCTGCTGCTAAGGGCGACGATGGCTCTGCACAACTAACACAAACTGTTAGCATTTTATCTCAGATGACACCGAACAAATAACTGTCGCTGAAACGCTTCAAAATGAGTAAAATGTAGAACTTGCATTTGCCTTCAATGAATTTCGTTAAAGGCGCACGAATACGCAAAAGCGAGCGTTTAAACCGAGCAGCAGTCCGTCGTATCTTAACGTTTATGTATCCTTAGCAAACACTGGCTAGCTTCTGGCGAGCTACTTTCATATCTGCATTTAGAAAAAACAAAACACCGCGACGACAGACACCACACACCACTATTACACGAGAACACGCTCTTTGTAAGTGAAAAAACTGAATGCCTTTTGGATAAATATTACCTCCTGCAGCAAAAGTGTTATCCTCTCCCTGTTTCGTTCAATCGATGTGGTTTCGTTTTGTAAAAATTCCCTGGATCGATTTTCCTCTAGCATTAGCAAGCAGAGGCTACATGCAGTCACGCCCACCACAGAAACGACGCCTTGCGATTGGTCGAACCAGCCCGATAATAGAATTCTCGGTCATAAACGCAGCGATCTGGTTGGTTCATTCGGTTATAGACACACAAACCGACCAATGAAAACAGGCGCTCACTACTACTCGTCCTCGGTGCTTGCGCTTATCCGATGTGCACGCCTCGCACGTAGACACTGGCGGGTTGGCTGAAGGCTTTATGCCCCGTCGACCATGAGGGAAATAAAACACCCTCAGGGCAGGTGAACACATTTTAACCAGTAGCCTCATAATCCTTGAATGAGTTTAAGAGTTTGCCAAAACCTCTATAATCATGCTATTTAGTACTGTTCCTCATCCAGTGTTCTCTGAATCTTGACTTTCTACCTTTTAATAGAGAAAATCTAGTCTTGTACTTTAAATCTAACATTGCAAAAGCTCACTGGTCTTTTTATTCTATTTATAACTAAAAAGGCACAAACAGTTCATTACTTAGGTAAAGGTTATGTCAAAAATCTTCAAGACAGATGTGGAAGACCAATATTTAAGTTAATTTTCATTCACATAAACCCTGTGCCCCTCCCCAGAAAAACACATTTACAAAAAATACCACCTCATTTTCACTTTTTTTATTGAATAACACTGAAAATGTATTGACAAATCTTTGCACCAAACCTGTGCAAGCAATTCTAAAACTACATATCAAAACTAAAATGGACTAAAATTATACAATTTCTGAAAATATACATTTCCCGGTCTATGCAAATATTTGTCTCTCCGTTAAAAATCAAAATGCTGACACTTGGATAGACATTGGCACACACTGCTGTTGAAATTCAACACCAAATATTAATAAAAAGGCAACGGCAAAAGTAATATATAACAAATTCAGATAATTTAGCCGATTCAATATCAAATTTCAGGAACAGTGTGTGGAATTTCCTTAAATGTTTCAACCTAATGCAAGCATTTTCTGTTTGTTTTTTTTTTAAATGAGGTCAGGTATTACAAGAGACCACAGGAGACACAAAAATCTGAGTGAACAGCCCCCCACAAATGGCAGTAATAGATTATAAAAGATGTCAAAAGTACAAATTTTTATTTTAGCAAAAAACAAAAACAGTTTCTAGACTCAATTAGGTTTGAGCATCAGGGACAATGTCTAAAGAGCTAGATAGATGGGAGTTCTACATTACACTCTTGGTTAAGCACTTTTGCTTCTTTGGGCTTTATAAAAAGTGAACCTCTTCAAAACATGGGGAAATACATTTCTATACCAAAGAATATAACGGCCTCAAGAATCTATCATGTTTAGCTATAAAGGTTTTATCAAATTCATAGTAACTTTTAAACCAACTTTCATATACAAATATAAAAATTACTATGTGAAAACATTTAAAGGAACCAATACACAAGTTAGAAAAGCCAATCACACTTGATGACACCCCTCCCCGACAAGACACTGTCTCAAAAAGCTGAGGAGCAGATTTTGTTTTTGAACTTGTTCAGTTTGTGGTTGTATGTCAGAGCTCATCCACCTTTTATGGAGCAACTTTAGTTTCAGAAAGCTTATTTTCTTAAGAAATTATTTGTTGGTGCAATTTCAATCATCTGATCATGCCAGGACAAACAAAGTGTCACATTTTCTATATAGTCCATTTCTCTAGTTGTGCGTCAACTGATTTCTTAACAGGAAATTGACCTGCATTGTGTTGTGTAAAAACAAACCGAATAGGCAGGGGGAATTTAAAAAGTACAGTACAGACAAGAACTACAGGAGACGCTTAACAGTCTTAAAGGTCAGATGTGAATGTAGGCCAGCAACTGCAAGATCAGATAATTGCACCAAAACAACAACCAACCAACCACAGCCAAACTAACGGCAGACCAGATACGATCCAGATTCTAACAGTCGTATACAAAAGAATCTCCAAAAAAGTTGGGCAAACGGCTAAACCACTTTTGACGTAACGTTCCCTTAATGAGTGCTAAACATGGAGGGATGTAGTTAAAAGTAACATTTTACATTATGGATAACATTAGCATTAGTTAATGGAACAAAACAAAACGCTGGGAGTAAAATCACGGTTGAAGGCATTAACGGAGTAATGGTACACTTACAAAGGAACTTCCAATTTATCATTAACTACACATCATGGCAGATCAAAAAGGCGAAAAATGGTAGCATTGAAGTCCACAAAACTTGTAGTTTTATAAATCATAAAAAATATATTAAGAGAAACTGATTCTTTATTGCCTCTACTGAAAATTCCCCTTACAGTTTACATCACGTTTCCTCGAGGGTTGAGTAGGCAGAACCAATGATCATCGCCCGTTGCTGTACCCTGGGAAAAACTGATTTAGAATGTCTTGCAGGGATTTGTTGACGGCCATGGAGTAGTTTTTGCCCAGGTCGTGCCTGCAGGCCGGGCAGGTGTACACCTCTGCTTTGAAGGACCTCTGAAGGCATTCCTGGAGTAAAAAGAAACTGTTTAGTTCTCAGTCTGATGGTTTTCTTCTTTAAATTACATTTTCACTGTTTCACAGTTGCACTCTCATACTGTCAAATATCAGCCTGTGAAGATTCCCTTTGTTCTAACATTTCTTTAGTAAGTGGTTTCCTGCATTTCCCAGAATGACATTTGACGGTTTCAGTGACATTTTGGGGGTGTAAGGTAGGGATGTGTTGACGAATTTACCACAGCTACGCAACACGACATTAAGATGGCAGTTCTCACCCCACCACTAGTGCAATAGAGTAAAAATAACACCTTTTAGGTCATATAGCATTGACTGAAAACATCCCTCTACAGTTTAAGAGGTAGGATTGGAAACTTGTTTTTACATTGTATGCAGTTACTCAGTGTTTTCCCTGTTGCCTTCTGTATTTTAAAATCTACAGAAGGAAAGCTCATCTATTTAAGTGCAATGTACTCCAACAGTGTATCCAAGTCTTTGTTTATCACTCTTTGCACCTGCTACTGAATTGTAAATCAACTTTCCATAGTCCCATGGGTTGCCAACATTTGAGACAATGATCATTTCTTACCCTGCAGACATTGTGTTGGCACTCTGTGGTGACGGGCTGAAAGACCACTTCTTGACAGCAAATGCAGAGGAAAACTTCTTCAACTTTGTTCAAGAATTTCTGCAGAAACAAAACACGTGACAAGACCTTACAAATTGTTCTATCATTAAACTGCCCAGAGCAGGTTTAAAGCAGTTCTCAGTAGCCGAGAGAATAGTAGGTTTTGACAAACAGCCTTGAGCTATTTCACCGTGAGATATTTCCTGAACAACTCAGTTATTTGCAAAACATTACAAGGTGACAACTACTTCTTACTTCAGTTTCAAGTAGCAGAAAATTGAGCACTGATAAAGCTCCACACAAACCAAATGTTTCAGACAAGCTATTTTTAGTTAATTAAGATGTATTGTCAATAACTTGAATTTCCCTCGGGATAAATAAAGTATCTATATATCTAATACAACTTTGCATGCAAGAGCACTGTTGAGATTTCTTGTTTTAAGTTCTCTAGGTAGGCAAGTTGCTGACAACATGATAATGTTGAATAATTTCCAACGGTATACAAGGAAATACCGTATTTAGCTTTTTTTACTTGAAGTCAAACTACTGTGATGTATTATGCATCTGCTTGTTGTAAATCTGTTATGCTGGGGCATCCATTCCAACTTTACACCACTAATTTATCGCTAAACTGTTGAAAAGGTCTAGAAATTCCAAGCTCAATTTACTGCTTCTTTAGTCGTATCCACAAGTAGAACAAACAGAGGCCACAGTTTCCCCAAACACAAGCTTGAGCATTTTGAAACTGCAAGTGACGTAACCAAATATGCAACCATACTCACCGGCCCAAGAGACAGTGACCCCATGGCTTCATCCCACACCTTCTTGTTTTGCTCGTCATTCTTGATAAGAGATTTCTGCTCCTTGGTAAGCTTGTACACTTCTACCTTTACTTTCTTAGTAGTCTTGGCTGGTGAGGTCTTGGAGTCTGACAAAAAGAAAACAATTTAAATTCACTAAGGAGTTGTGGAATATAAAGGTTGATTACGCATAGGTATGCATGGCTCGGGGTGATTTGCAGCAGTCTTGTATGAAACCCTGTTCAATACTAGGTTAAAAAACAAATACACAGCCAACAGCCACATAAAGAGAACTTACCACTGCCCTGAGATTTTCTCTTCCTCTTCGCTTTGCTGGGTGTTGCTGCCGCTTCCTCCACTTCATTTTTGTTCTCTTTCTCTTTCTGGTAGCCAGCAGGATACTGGAAGAAGATTGAGTCCATTTAATTGACGTTATGATATTATTTGCAATCAGCTCAAAGCACAGCTAATGTTTGCATGCTCATTAACAGGTCATTTAGCAGGTTAACACGGATTAACACTATAATTACTTAAATGTGTTAGAATATTAACATGCTTGTACTTTAACATGCTAAATGTGAAATTCAAATCTAAAAGTTCAAATGTTTTTGCACATTTCATGCTTAAAGTTGTAGTAGGTAACTTTTAGGCGTATTTGCTGAAACTGTCACTATATTCCTGATAAGACAGATGCCACCATGCCATGGAAAGCAAGTCATCTGAAGCATGAAGGGCAACAGGCTCCTGCTCTGCTGTAGGTTTGGTGGGAGGGGTTTAGTGGCGTAATATTCAAAGCACATAGAGGCGGAAAGTTTTGCATTGCATATGTTCAAAGTACCCACTGCAGCTTTAAGAAAAGTAATCAATTTTCTGCTGCCAATTTATTTTCAGTGAAAATGTAATAGAAGTATTGTTAGTTTTGAGTGTGAAGCCAGTATTACTATTGTAATTAGGAGTTGATCATATCCTAACACACCTAAAAACAATATGACAAAACCCCTGAATAATCATCTTTACCTGCATGGTTAGACCGAGCTTCTTGATGCGTTCCTTGCCATCTCTGGTCCATGGTGCCGGCTCATCATCATCACGCTTCAACAGATACCGCCAGACCAAGAAGCCAGACTTTCCCTTTTCTGGCCAGTACTTCACTATCTGAAAGAAGTTGATGACAAAGTAAAACTACAGTTCCTGTGAGACTAAACAAATAAAATCAATTCCATTTATTTATTTATTTATTTATTTATTTAATTTATTTATATATATATATATATTTATTCAGTTTATTTATAATGAATGAATTGTCACCCAATGATTTATAGATCAATAGCACATACAGAAACCTGTGCAGTGTTCCACATACCTTATATATCCCATCATATCGGTTTCCTTCTTCAGGGGAATATTTACTGTGCTTGCGACCCTTGCAGCTGCGCACAACTCTAACCGGTTTGCCTTCTTTCCAGTTCTTAGCCTCGGCTCCATTTTTGTCATTGACAGGGACGTTACAGTTGAGAGCCAGCGCCCTGGTGAGGACCAGACAGTTTACATATGCAAAATAAAATAAAACAAAAACAGACAATACAAAAATCCTGTTGATTAAACACAAGTTATAATAATAGTCCTTTAGTGTCATACCGGTTCATGTGGGTAAGTGTCTGATCACAAGATTGCTCAGCAGTCCTCTTGTTTCCAGAAAGATCTCGCCCTCCAGAGCCAGTGTAAGTGAACTCATTACCATCATCCTACAATGCAACACACAAACACCATTACACACTTTAAAACTTAACCTGGTTGTGTTAATAGAAACAAATGGGTTTCTATTAACACACTCTGATAACTTTAAAAGAGATTAGTTAAGCCCCTTTACTCCATACTCTAAATAACACAGCATACCACGTCATCCTCATAGCCTCCTGCCAGGACCAGAGAGTAGGCGCCATCATTGCTTCTGCCATGAATCCCAGCTACGTGTGGCCTGTGGACACCAGATTCACTGACCTAGAAAAGCCAAAGAATTGAAACATTATTGCTGGCCATAGGAACAAATTACCACAAAACCTCAACAGCATTAATTCAACTCTCCAGCTGTGTGGACTGACCTGCACTCTGAACTTCCACAGTGAGCCGACGGGGATGCCGGGTATTGGGCCGTAGTGGTTGGACGGGACAATAGTGCACTGCTTGGTTCGACCAACACAGGCCATTCCCTGGAGGGAGAGAACATAGTTTGTATTTGTTTAATATCTAGTATCGTAGCCATTTGGGGTTGAGGATGTGAACTGTACACATACTGTATGTACTGCCAATATAAAGTCATCTCACCTTGCCCCAGTCCCTCTGGCTGGAGGAGCTGGCAGAGGCCATCTTAGATTTCTTCTTGCTCTCCTTCAGCTTCTCTCCAGCCAACACAACCTCACTGGCGTCATTACGGCAACCTGGGCAATACCTGAGACAGTATGACATGTAGAGTGAAGGTCACAATTGCTACAAGATGGTTCTTTAAATCAACATATAACTGCATTTGATGCTACTGACCAGTCCTCATCTTCTGGGATGGAGGTGAGCGGAGGGTTCAGGCAGTAAGTGTGAAAGGCCATGTCACATTCATCACACAACAACTGTTTGTCAGGATCCTGCTTGATGCCACAGATTTTGCAATTACACCACTGACAGTTTTTTTTGGGATCATCCTTACAGCGCTTGCACTCAGGGCCATTTGATCCTGAAAACACAAACATTTCATTAGATAATATGTTCCATTTGATTATACAGTATTTTCAATAGGATGGTACAGGTTTCATATGTACCAATTAACAAGATTCAAAATGTTAATTGCTACTAAAATACACTTTAAAAATGCAAACCTACTTTTGAGTGGACTGTCAGATCCAGCTGGGGTGTCACCCAGAGAACCAGGCTCCTCGATTTTGTAGATTTCGGTCAGGAACATGATCCGGCAGTCATTAAGAGAGTCCCCAGCATCACTAAAAACAAATAAATAGAAAGTAAGACAATATACTTTTTATACTGCATCAACAGACACATGCTTTTCCCCTCTGGGTAGAAATGAGATCCAAATCCACAGAAAGTGGCAAATACCCCAACCTCTTAAAACGTTACCAGTACATAGTACCATATTCTAACTTGTGCCCACCTGTTACTGTGGCATTCAAAAACCCAACAAATGTTGACGTGTAGATAAAAATGACCACAAATGGATCACCTGCCACTGCAGCAGACGGAGCAGATATGTGACTTGTGGCAGTCCCCCCTACTCTGTGTGCCACTACATACTACTATATCTAAACTGCAATATGCAACAAAGCCCTTACCCGAGGATAATCTTGGCGTAGATCTCTCGCACAGTGCGTGTCTCCCTCTTCCTCTGGATCTCAGCGTCATACCAGTAGCCGCGCTCCTTGGGGTCGTCTGGGTTGTAGTTGACCATAACGACCATTCCTGGCTCCAGCTGGTGCCACTGATACACAGTACGGGCCCGTGGGCGAACATCCTTGACTAGCAACTGAATCACACCGTTCTCTGGGTAGCTGTGAAAGTGAATGGGAGATGACATTTTCAGTTCAGAGGCAAGCCACGCACCACCACAGGTGCTTCCTACACTTCCACAGTGCTGCCTGGGTGTAGCTAAATGTACAAGTGCAGCAGGTTTGACTACTAGACCACTCAGATCAATGTTCCCTCGACAGTAATGCTCCTGCAAGCTCACAAACACAAAAACACCTCTCATAGTGGGCAAAGCCAGTGATACCACAGAAAACCCAATACTTCTGTTGTTAGGGGTACACGCTCATGAGAAGTTAGATTTTAGTTCAGTGTCAATTTTAGTCCCCCAATAAAGGTTTCAATGTAAAAGTCTGTGGATTAGAAATTGTTCCGGTCCACGGGGATCCGTTTTAAGCCTTTTATGTGGAGTTGCAGCAGGAAGTGATTTAATGTTATGTTGCCTAACCGAGCGAACAAACTTTGGGTTTGATACCGACTGAAGGGCTGCACGAAAACATACTGCAACTATTTTGACAGACCTTGCGATATAATTCAGGATAAGCAGGAATGATCTTTTTTGCGTCAAATCACTCGCTTGATTTCACTGATTATTCGAATCATGATACTGTGACTTTTTTGCACCATGTTCTCTTACATCAGGGAGAATAAGGTTTGTAGGCCAGGGTATCTCTCCAGCACTACACCATTATAATGTAATTTGGTCAAATTTTAAATTTGCACCTTCTGCAATTTGGATATTGCACTTGGCAAGAGTGCAATTACCTAGCAGTTGGTTGTAGCTTACAGCAAGTCAACACAATCAGACCACAATTTATTTTATTGCCTTTTTTAAAAACTTATGTTCAATTGCATGTTTACAGTATTTGTTTCTCCTTCTACAACTATAATTCCTGACCACCACATCAAAGCTCTACTTTCCAGGTGGCTAGCCATTTGTTAAAAGACAGGATTGCATTGATTGGGAAATCCTGGGCGGATACCGACGTTTAAAATAAAAAATTTTTACTTGATCTTTTGTGCCAGGGAAAAAAAAAAACAATCAGTGTGAGATGCAAAGCTGAACAGCCACAGGAGCACAGATATTTTAATGCAATTTGTGACAGTGCTGGAAAACAGAGGCGATTATTTCTCCAATATCTGAGTTGGAAATAATCAACATTCTGCCTGTGCAACATTGATGCGACAATCATCGGCCACTGAAATCAACCATCAGTGACTGTCATCTAATTTGAGAGACAGACAGGCCGATGTCAACAAGGTGAATATGTGCAAATACGTGCATGCCTATTAAAAAGAAAACTTTCCTTTATGGTAATACACTGAAACTCTTGTATGTGCAGAGTTGTGTTTGCTAAGCTCAACATTGTCAGCTCTGTAAAACAGGAGTCAGCTAATCTGATGAAAGAAGTGATGTGATTAATAGGAAAGGGGTTCTTACTCTTCATATTTAACATGGTACAGTATCTCCTCCTCCGCTGGCTGTGCCTCAGCTGCCTCCTCTTTCGGAGTCTTTGCTGTCTTCGTAACATTGACGATCTGGGCCTCAAACCATGCCCCCATGTTCAAGTCCCTTGCATCCACCAGTTCATTGATCTTCAAAACACAGAAAAGACAAAAAAGTTAGCGTGTCATTGAAATTTTAAAACCTGACAAACCTAACAAATTTTAGATGTTCTGTAAAAGTTCCCAAAAATTTGATTTTTCAGTTTGTTTATTGCAATACACAGAATTTCAATTTGTACATAGATAAATTGAACACATACATGAACTGTTTTAATATTTCTCAAATATTGTTGAGATAATGAACAGAAATGATGCTGCTGTTGGAGGAAGGAGATTCTGGCGATGCACCGAACCTAATTCACCCATGCTTCATGACCTCTTTGCAACCTGGACTGGAATGCAGTTTATTCACTACAGCCGTTCATCACCCATCCCACAGAAATATTCCATTTCCCCATTCCCAACAAAGCAAAAGGTAACCTGTAACCATTAAATATGATAATTAACAACAACGCCGCCAGCCTGGGTAAACATTGAGCAAGAGTCCGAATCTACCAATAAATTCGTATTTATAGTGAAGACATGTAGAAATAAAATCCCTAAAAATACAATTTCAGTTTGGTATGCTGCATACAAACACATAGGTAATATGCCTGTACTGTCTGTATAAACACCTGTCTGGGGTTATGACCACAATCCTGATAAAAGAGAGGGAGGATTTAGAGCCTTTATGTAAATGATATAAACTATAAAAACAGACAGTGTATACCACCTCCATCACAACAGGAGGAAATAACACCTGTAAATTTAGAAAGGTAGGCCCATGTATCTAAATATTAAAGCATATTGGTAGAACATGGTACTGAATCAACATTAGATGAATTAAATGATTGGAATATGGATACACAAGATGATACTGATGAAAAAGGGTGGAATGATGCTTGTTTGAAAGTGCAGACAATAAACACATGGTTTAAATTACTTCAACATAAGTGGTTAATGACTGTATGTAACCCAAGTCAAACTTCATCATATGTCTGCTGATATTCCAGATGATTGTTCATAATGTTTGAATGAGAAAGGTAT